TTTCAAGGTCAACATGGAACAAAATATGGAAATTCCTGGACATCTTTAAAGGGACTCAATGAGGACTGATAACCAAAGAATGTATTGATTCTTCATGCATTGCATAACTGGCACAAATAGAAAGAAGCAGTAGACTCTTCCAAGACTATTTATAAACTGTGGTTTCTTGAATTTTTGGAAATTGTAAGACATTCACTTCCCAGACCTCCTACCTCAAATAGTAGAGGTTGAATGCCACATGTAACACTCTTTGGTCTCCTGATACTGACCAGCCTAATAACAGTGGTAGAATCAAATACTATTAATTTAAAACTATTTGAAAATAGTTCAGAAAAGACTATGGCCAGCTTAGTAGTACAATTATTAATATAAGACCTAGACTGGATAATATTCTTAATTATCATGTAGGAAGCAGAGGTTTGGGAAGTAAATTTACCTTTAACAAGGTCCGAAAAGCAAAAGAAAGTTGCATCTTACATATATATTAGTTAATGCCAAAGAAATATTTCATTCCAATAAACCTGGGTTAGACCTCTAACTTTCATAAAACACAGAAAAGAACTGAAAAATAAAGTGAGACATGTCACAGTACATAGTTACAGTACAGTAACATGTTCTTCCTTCATGTCTTTCTGTCTTAAGCCTCAAATTTTTTAAAATTATATTAATTATTCCATTATGAGTGCAGAACGAAAACTTTCATGTATTTTCTCCTGTGCATCGCTTCCAATGTTGAGGTTAGCGACAGAAGCTGTGGATTATTCATAAAAGATCATGTCAAGATCAGCTTTGACTGCATATAGAAGGGCAGATTCAGATGTCAATAGCGTTTGTTACCAGGACAGTCAAGCCTATCAAGCTGCAACCAAGAAAAAATATTGTCAAGAAAATATTTCATCTGGAAACCACATAATTATAAATGATAGGATAAATTCTTCTCATTTCTGAAAGCAAATTATATCACATGAATTTTTGAAAGACAGGATTTGTCTGCACAGTTATACTGAATAAAAGAGCAAGAGTGTTTAGTTTTCATATTTCCAGGTTAAGGATCAGAAAGACATGAAAAGACTCTGTCAACTGAGCACATAGTTTTAGTTGTGACTGTTTCTATGCTTTCAATCAAACACTTATTTTACAAATATCAGCATGGCTCCTTACATCATGAAAACATCTACCGCCAAGTGTCTCCCCTTTCATATATACTTGGGAGACAGTTTATTTCTTTGTGTCAACAGGAGGAAGTACTTGAAAAATGAAATGCTGTCAACTATGTCCTCGAAGTTCTGTAGCTATATATATATGTAATTTGTTTTTCTAAATTCAACTTTTTAATATTATTACTTTTAATATTATAATAGTACTTAGAATTCCAAATCTAGTGCCAGCAGTGGAAAATAACTGTCTACCCCTAAAGAATTTACAGCACATAAGATAAATGTTAATGTTGAGCATTTTCTTGTTCCAATATAGAACTGTCTATTAGGCCACTTACAGGCCTTTTGTTATTTATAGGGCTCTTTCAAGAAGAAACTACCTACTGTAGGTGACACCTGTTTCTCTTGAGTCCAGCCATATAAAAGCTGGATGTTCAGCATAAGCTACTGATCTAGAATACTTCTTTTGTCAGTGGGACAGGAACTAGAGGATGATTCCTCCCACGGTGGTGAAAATGAGCAATATGCTGGATGTAACCCTCTCCAAGTGACCGGAATCTTTCTTGTGATGTAAAACATTTTTCCAAAGCTTCATTATATGACAGGTTGACTACAGACAGAATCTGCACATGACTTACAGAAAGATATGCTGAACTAAGTCTTAGGTGAATAAAAATAGACAAAATTAATACCATAGACGTCCAGCTCTGAAATTTTTACGGAAACAATCCCATTGGCTTGAATTTGTGTTTGCTTCACAGAGTGCCATAATTCTACTGCCAAGACTTCTATTTGTGTCAAATAGCCTGTAATAAAAAACAGAAAGAGGATTTTAGAAGGGAATAAGAAAAAAATTAAATCCATCTATAACATGAGTGTGTTGTTTTGTTTTTTAGATGTACAAAAGTCAAAAAGTTCTAATACTTAAGTAAGCAACTACACTTATAAGGGAATTACATAATGAAATAAATAAGAGCATCCTGTTTTGAGGAGGATAGCACAACACCCATATTTTCCTCATTAGGATTACAGTTATGGAGATTCAGAAAGGGGCATCGACAAATAATCAGCAGGGGTCTGTTTACAAGCACTTGAATGACTAAGTTTCCTGTGAGATTTGTCCTAAATAGGTAGTCCTCAGTTTGTGAAGTTTACCACACACAGCAAGGATACTTTCATTGCGGAACTGTGTCTTGATGCAAGCATTTTTAGTCAGGTTCATTGCAACATCAGCTTTAAGTCAGAAGATGCACATAAGCCTAGGTATGAGTTATCACACTTGAACCCTACGTTAACCATGCGCCTCAGTTAAAAAAGATTATACTTACAATAATCTGTAAGAGTATCATATATTATATATAACAATAATGGCTCCCTTCTTGAAAAAAAAGGGAAAGCTGCCTTTGGTACCGCGTTATCCTTATGACTCATTATTAAGCATTATCTTGTAAAATTTAAATTCAGTGTAAATGTTTCTCAAGTGCAGAGTCGTCCACTTGTGTTATTTCTGTTACTATGCTTCTAGTTTCAAAAGTCTCTTTTCCCCTTCTTCTTTTCACAGGAAATGATCTTTTTCTAGTTGCAGTACATGAACTGGGACATGCTCTGGGCTTGGAGCACTCTAACGATCCCACTGCAATCATGGCTCCGTTTTACCAGTACATGGAAACTGACAACTTCAAACTACCTAATGATGATTTACAGGGCATCCAGAAGATATATGGTATGTCGTACTCTAATTAAGCAACATCAGTTTTTCACTTTAGAATATATTTCAGGTCTTCCTGTCCATACCACCTCTCCAAAAGGGTTTGTTAGTGTAGACTCTGCTAGTCTACATGCCGGAGGTCTGCTTGTGAGTAGGGCAAAGTTCTTTTACTTTTGTTTCTCACTGTTCACAACTTGCATTCATATTTGCACTCAGCTGGAATAGCAATTTTAAATGTTTTAAAAACCCATAAAGAAAATATGTGCAAAAGGATCCAAAACAATGAAATATTAAGAAATGCAGGCCTTTAACCATAACAAGCTTATTTCCACATTAGTTCAATCTTGTGTAACTGGATGAATTGATTGCTTCTCAGTTTATCAGTTATAGTACTAAACAGTTCCCTGGGTGTACAAAATTTGTGGTCTCAGAAAAACCCTTTCTTAATCCCAAAAGACTGTTATTACCAACCCAACATTTTGAGCTACCTAGGGAGAAAAAGGCGCATGTCTTTAAAATATGTTTGTTTAGGTTTGTTGTGGCCTGATGTAAAAGACATCTATAGTGTAAATAAATTCTGCATGTATTGAATTCAAATTGACAAGGCAAAGCAATTGAAAATGGAATAAAATAAAAAGCAAACCCAGTACTATTATTCTGATTACAGGTTGAATGTAACACTAACTCCCATATTACCATTCCTTATGTTTCCAAAGACTTGGTTTTGTTCTTATTTTAAAGACTTTGATTCTGTTGGTACCTGTTAAATAGTCTGTTTTTTTTCTTTAAAAATGCATTTTATTTTTCTCTCTTACGATGAAAAATCTGAGGTATCTGTATGTTAATACTAGATATCTAGTAGATAATATTTGGAATTGTCTGGAATTGTCTTGCTTAATATTCTCCAATTAATTCTGTATCAGATTCAATTTTGTACTCACTATTATTTTCAGTTTAAAGATTTGTCAGGTTTATATTGAATATTATCAGGGCCATTCCTTGTTTATCTTTACTACTAGAAAGGAAAACAAAACTATGATCATGCAGAATTACTGTACTGCTAACTGTAACTCTGCAGCCTCCGTGGTATTTTACATTAAAAAGCTTTTTAAAATATTATTATATTAGCAAGCACTGATATATATTTTCATTAAGCATAAACAGCAATTTTGAAATGATTGTCTGATCAAGTATTGTTTGGGGTTTTTTTTCATGTGTGATTAGCTGGAAAGAAGGTTGTTTCTCATGACCTCATAAGTTGGTAGTCTAGACTTAAGGGCTAGACAAGAGTATTTTTCTGAAAACTAACTGCTAAGCTCTAACAGCTGTGAGCTATACATTAGGAGAAATGTGTTACACCTGGGAAGTAATATCTGACATCACCACCAAATGGCATATGAAAACTTTGATTTGGGATTAAAAACTTTCCAACATGAGCTACTGCAAACTGATTCCTTTGCTTCCTTTAAAATCAAGAGGTAATCTGGAATCATATGCCTCAATAAAAATGTCTCACCTATTAAAATAATTACTTTGGTCTGCAGTATTCCTTGAAACACCATTATTAACTGTAAATTATAAATGTCACAAGCCTTAAAATGAATGAAATAAATGCCTTATTAAATTGTATGACAACTGTTTGGTGAGTTTAATATTTCCTTACAAAGTCCATCTTGTTCTTTACAAAGTACACTTTTTTTGAAAAAATATCAGAAATTCAAATGCCATTTATGCAGTTTTAGAGTTGTCTTACTATTCAAAAGTCTTTCTGAAACTGGTCTTGCAAATGATATTTATTTTTTAATGTCAAAATTTATTATGTATTTAAATGATTTGGAGAGTGGAACAAATAGAATCAGCAAAATTAAAGTGTTCATCTTGTTTCCAGAATTCTTACTGATCCAACTGAAACTTCTTATCTTTTTGTAGATGGAAAATATAAGTGAACATAGTAATATGTGTAGAAAGAGAAAGGAGTTTTCAGTACACCCATTGCAAGTCATTCAGTATGCCTTTAAGGTCATGAACAGCATCTGTCTAGGATGGCCTTTTGACTTTCAGGTAGAGAAATTACGAATGGGAGAGTTATTTCAGCTTTCATCAAATTCTGTATATTATGACAGAAAATGTATTTGAAAGAAGAAAAATATTTTTAAATCACTGTGCAGAGTTTTAGCTTTTCACTTTAGTTCTTTTAAATTCATTTATCCTCAGAACAATTCCTTTAATTACTAGGTATTGAGCTTCGTAAAACTTACTGTAAAATAAAATTCTGCTGATGATCTCATTAGAAACAGGTTTTTTGTTTTGTTTTATTTTGTACAATGGACAATGATTCTATTTTAACAGTTGTTACTCAGTTCCTAAAGTATGTGCTATGAGTTGCTTCTCATCTGAAATGATAGTGGAATATGCATCTTTTGCAAGTTTTACTGGAATGTTGTTTCAATAAGAAAAGAATATTCTGGATAGTGAAAAGTAATTATTTGCTTCATTCATGCCATGGTTTTATGGTAGTTATTCATTATACATTATGCCATTTAACATGGGTTAGATCACTTTTTCCATTCCACTGCCACTGTAGGATTTGCACTGCTTACAGCAGGTTTTTGTTGTGTATTTCTTCAAGTGGCACTGGTGGGCATATAAATTACATACTGCTGCTGTATTTAAAGGTCCACCTGACAGAATCCCACCACCAACAAGACCTCTGCCAACAGTGCCCCCACATCGTTCAATCCCTCCAGTAGACCCACGGAAGAATGACAGGCAACCTAAACCTCCTCGGCCACCCACTGGTGACAAACCTTCCTATCCTGGAGCCAAGCCTAACATCTGTGATGGGAACTTCAACACTCTGGCTATTCTTCGCCGGGAAATGTTTGTTTTCAAGGTAGGAGGCTGTGAATTTTTCAATGTTACATCAAATGTCTGCATTTCTCCTTTTTTTTTTTTTCAAGCAAACTCTCATTCATCATGACTCCACTTTCCTAGTCTGCTTACAGAAAGTTCAAGAGAGAAATTAAAAAATAAACATACACATGGCTTAAACGTCTAGCAGAGGACAGCTGTAATGTTCTATTTTGGGAAAATATCCATGTCAGCAGAAACTGCAATGCCTCAAAATGTAAGGGTAAATAAATGCTGCATGTTATGGAGAGATAAAAAGTGTAAATCAACTCATGAATAGTAGGAATGATTATGTTGGGAATACAGCCACATCCAGACATACAGTAGATTGTCTCTTCAATGCTTTTTTTTTTTCTTTTTTCCATGGAGTTGTAATTTTAACTTTACAGTTTGATCTGTCATTTACAAAGGAAGTTTGTCATTGTTTTGTGGTAGCAATTGAAATCACAATATCTAAGTAAAGGTCTTTGCCACAAAAATCTTATTGCAACTGTGACATTGTTTGTTTCCATTCATTTTTTTTTACTCTGAGCTGAAAATGTGGTATAAACAGCAAATAAAATAAACAAACAGAACCGAAAGGCAATCTTTTGATAGAAGGACTTTACTAAAACTCATGGACATCAAAGCTATTTTAGGAAAATAATCTGCAGTATGGTTTTCAGAGGGCATTGAATGTTGAAGAATAGTTACAGAATCATTATTATTCACCTTCTTAAATCTTAAACCAATTTGCTGACAGATAATGCTGTGCAAATGTTCCAGAAACAAGCAACAGCATAATCTATTATTTTGAACTACCGGTGTGTCAAATTTGTTTAAGCAATAGGAAGTGTGGGATTTGTTTTGTAAATACATGAAATTATTCTTTTCAACTTCAGCATTGTAGGTAGAGAAGAAGGGCCTTTCACATGTGAATAGATAACACTCTTCCCTTCAGCAATAGTGTAAGTGCAAGGGAAGTGCAATGAATTTGTCCCAAAACATGAAGCTTGCAGTTCAGTGGCTTTTGTTATCCTTTCTGATAAGACGCATTTCTCCCTCACGTGTTTTCTTTTTATGTAATTTATCACTCCAGATAAATCTTATATTAGCAATGGTATTCAGGCTTTCACTTCCTTTAGCATACCTGAAAAAAATATGTACAAATAGCTTTACATGAATTCATTCAAAATTATTGAGCTACCTTCACAACCCAATGGACAGGAAATATTTTTCCCATAAACAGCTAAGGATCTTACCAGCCCTGGGGCTGTCAGCTATTTCCATTCGAATACATGGTATATCTTCAAACACTGGGAGGTCCTGAACCATCAGTCTTTTTATGACTAAAACTCAAAGGTTAAGGAAGAATCTAATTTTCTAACTTGACATTAAACAGGATATTAAAATACCTACTTCAATCTCATGTCATCCACCTCAAGAGCAATAGAACGTATTCTCATTTATTTTAGACATAAATCAATAAATAGTGAAATGCTGTCCCACTAATATAAAATTTCCTGTCTAGCCAAGTCTGTGTTCCTGGATAAACAGATTCACCACTAATCACTCTGATATATTCTGATTGAAAATAAAAATTAAGATTCTTCCAAAAATGTTTACTGCTTACTGCCTTAGCACTATGTATTTAGTATACAGTTTGCATGCTTACTAATGTGCAAACTGCCCTTATAGTCGAAAAGTAAAACTCCATTCATGATCGACAAAACTTTGTCAGAGAAAAATGACCAGTAATGGAGCATTTGCAGATTTAGAGCCTGACTTTCCAAAATGAAGTTGCTGCAATCATAAAAGCAACTTGCTGAGAAGGGAAGAAAGAGATGACCTTTGTCCAGATTAATTTCTTTAAGTGTCCCACAGTTCCCCTTTTCTTCTCAGGGTATCTGGAAGCATGGCAAGGCATGGCTTGGGTTAGCATGCTAAGCAATGGAGTTTGCTTAAGTGTACAAATCTTGACTTTGTAATCTGAGTGTCTTTGAATGCTTGAGTTTATAGGCCCTAACTTTCTGGTTTGTACATTGATTTTCAAATGAAGATTTTCATCTGCTAAAGTTGTTTCACTACTTGCTTGAGATTTTTTTTTTGGGGGGGGGAGGAGTGTATGGGGAGGATTATGAAAGGAGCAAGAAAGGAGAGAAGGAATTAGAAAAGTTAGGGGTTGCTAGTCATTTTCAACTTACTTTGCAGAATCTCAAGGGGGCTGGTCATAAGGAAAAGCTCAGCGTGTTAGACTGTAGCAGAAGCAGGGCAGGAATTATTTCTCAGAAGCTATAAACAGGAATAGGGACTGAATACAGGGGAAGCATCCAGCAATGGAGGAAGTGAAGCTGGAGGTTCTGTGGCCTGACACAAGAAAAAAAAAACACCAAACCTCTTTGCCCTTGACCCTTAATGTTAGTATGAGGATAGACTGTGAAGGCATGAGTGATGGGCTGAGAGCAAAGTACAGAGAGGTGGAGAAGAAGAGGGGACTGATGGCAGTACTGTACCAGGTGGAAACAATTAAAGAAGAATTATGACCGTCATTGAAAAAATTATTGCTGGATAGTTCCCAGATTAGTTAAATTAATAAAATTGGAGGCTAATCAAATGACATCCTTTTCCTTCTTTGTCTTTATCCACAAGTCTGTAATGATTGTGTAGTGACAGATTTTACTGCCTTCTGAATGGCACGTATGCCATGTACCAATTCCAAATTGAAAATAACCACTTTTTTATCTCATGGGCAAGTCTCAAGCTCACGAGCTCAATTTGTTTAAATAATCCTTGAAATTGCTTGGGAACTTAGCCACAGAGTTGAAGAATGGGAGCCCTTTTGAATAATTAAATTCTAATTTAAACATAAAACTGAAGCACAAAAGATAACAGTTTGAGATACACTGTGGATTTTCACAGTAGATAACAAACAAGATTAATTTCGAGAAGATTGTTTTCTTTTGGCTGTTGAGCTATTAGGTATACTTAAGAGTATCAGAATATTAGTAACAATTTCTATGTTCAAACTGATGAGCTTTGTCTGTGGTTTTAAGATTATCTGGCATTCTCAAATGGATATATCTAGAGTAAAACTGAATAACAGTAAGCTTAAAAGGAAAATGGAATTTACAATTATCCATCCCTTTTTATTGTTTTGCCATCACTTTGACAAAGTAACAATCCTAGCAATACTTGATAAAAATTGTAGGGTTAAAGAAATTAAATAAAGAGGAACTGTTCTTGATCCAACATGAACAGTAAACACAAAAGTAAAGCAATCAACTTGTTAAAGATTCCCCAAAGACGACCAAATAAAAATAGAATTTTGGGAATCAATTATTTTGGTAGAAATGATTGGATTTTAAGGAAAACAAAATTATTTTCCATCGAATAAACATGGATTACTGACATATAAATGTGTTGTCCCAAAAGAGCTTATTCCTGAATTCTTTAAGTTAGATGTCCTTAACATGACCCTGCTAGCTGTAAGGCTTGAAGATACAGTATAATATAGAAGAAAAATATTAGTTTAAATCAATATATTGTAACTATAGGTTTCATTTGTCACCAACTGATATTTTAAAGTGTATGAAGTTTGTCTTAACTGAATGCAGTTTTTAAATTGCTGCTATTATTTAGTATATGCTTGAACTGGTATAAGCAACCATCAGGACAGTAGAGTTTCTATGCCAAAATTCATGAGCGCCACTTTTTATCTTGAGATTCCAGTTAGTTTCTGTATTTTTGCTGAATGCAATTAGTATTTAGCTGTCACTCTCATTTCCAATCTTTTCTCCAGCTATTTTCTCCTTCTGCTTAGTTCGAACTCCTCTGGGACACAGAAAATGGCTGAAAATGGAGAAAAACAAATTGGTCTTCCTTTTCTGGGAAAGTCGTGTGGAGTGGTATGACACTGTTTGCCTTTAATGGAAAAGCCTCTCAGCCATTGTATATAGCAATATGTGGTATCCAACCATACAGTCTTCTCCTTAAAGTCCCTGAGAGTATCTCCAGGGCTACTGCATGACGAAAAGGAACCCCACTGTCTAAGGTCACCAGAAAAGATCCATTAGTGAAGAAGTTTACAGCATATATTTCCACTTTCTTCCTGTGTTCTGTGCAATTCACACTGCTTTTACAGTCTTCTGTAGCAAAAGAGTTTTGAAGATAATCTAAGATGTTGTCGTGGTTTTTGGACTGAGGGTCGAGACAAGAACCAAGAGGGAGCACCCACCAACCATGGTCCCGGGCAAAACATGACTCAGGCTTTCTTCTTAAAAACAAAACAATTTATTAACAGTTACTTAACAAGAGACACAAGGGAACGAAACCGGTTACTTGAGAGGAGAAAGAGAAAACAAGGCCAGATCTTAAAACAACACCTCCCCACCCCTATTTCCTTTCATTCCTGGCTCTACCTTCCCCCCATCAGCGCAGGCAGACAGGGAATGGGGGAGTGCAGGTCAGTTCATCCATGTTGTTAACTGCCGCTCCTTACTTAAAGGAGGGGGAGTCCTTACACCATTTTTCCCTTGCTTCGGTGGATCCCCTACTCACGAAGAAAAAATCCCCAAACTTTTCCAGCGTAAGTCCTGCCCGCAGGATTGCAATCCTCCCCATGGATCGCACCAGTTTGGGCTTTACCAGTCTCGGCCTCTTAGGGAGCTGCTGCCACTCGTGTAAGCGTGGGTCGTCCCACGGTCTCCAGATGCCTCCACGACCTCGTCGTGCATTCCATGCCCATTATTAACAGTACCTGGTCGCGCATCCCCTGCTCCACGACCTCTCCTGGGCTCAGGCATCTCTTCCCCGACGTGGGTTTCTCCACGGGCTGCGAGTGGGTCTCTGCTCCGCCGAGTACACCCTGGCTGCAGGGGGGCCGCCTGCCATCTTCACACCGATTGCAAGGGAAAACTTCAGCTCTAGCACACCTCCTCCTGCTCCATCTTGACTGACTTGGTCATTGTGGTCGTTTTCTCTTAGATCTTAATCCCCTCTGGGGGA